GACGACGCACCCACCAGGATTATGGGTAACTGCAGTAGCTCGCCAGACATCACAATAGTCAGCGCTGGTCTGATAAACAGCATAACGTGGCGACCTATGCTGACTCTAGCATCAGACCATCTACCCATAGTCATCTCGATTGATAAACCAACCGACTTTGCTTCCGCCAAACACCGGACCTATATCAACTTTTCTAAAGCTGATTGGAAAGGTTACGCGGAGTTTACCGAAAACACCTTCGCATCGCTCCCCACACCAACCGACGTCCATCTTGGTGAACGTAAGTTCCGCAGGGCTATCACTGCTGCTGCAGCTCGCTTCATACCGGCAGGGTGTATATCGGACCCACGTCCAAACTTCCCTGCCGAAGCGGCTGTTCTAGCCAATGAGCGTGATAGCCTTCGTCAGGCCGATCCCGGAGATCCCCGTATCAGCGATCTCAACGCGGAGATTCGGCAACTTGTAAACGTACATAAGCGGAAGAAGTGGGAGGAGCATCTGAAGACTTGTAACTTCACCTCTGGTGTGAGCAAGCTTTGGTCAACCGTGAGGTCATTGTCTAATCCGACGAAGCACGACGACAGAGTCGAAATTACCTTCGGCGACCATGCTTCGTCGGACCCGGAGCGATGCGCGAGCTTTTTTAGCCGGCAGTTCATACTGCATCCTCCGGTGGACAAAGCCAAGCGTCGAGTGACCAGAAGGCTGCACAAACTGCCAACAACTTGTGCCCCCCTTGCTTTCACTTGCGGTGAAGTTCAGGTGGCCATCGGGAAGGCGAAAGCCTCCAAAGCCATGGGTCCCGACGGAATATGCATGCTGATGCTGAAAAATTTGGGTCCTGCGGGGGTAGCGTACCTAACGGAGGTCCTCAACCTGTCAATGGCCACTCTCATCATCCCAGACATCTGGAAGGTGGGGAGAGTGGTCCCACTGCTCAAACCGGGGAAACCCGCCAACAAAGGAGATTCGTATCGTCCGATTACACTCCTTTCCCCGGTAGCGAAGACACTCGAGGCCTTGCTACTCCCGTACTTCACAAACCACCTGACCCCAGCGAAGCATCAGCATGGTTTCCGTAAAGTGCACAGTACAACAACAGCACTTAACGCCATAAACACTCAGATAACTCGTGGCCTTAACCGTAACCGTCCCTGTGAGAGAACGATTCTAGTAGCGTTGGACTTGTCAAAGGCGTTTGACACCGTCTGCCATTCCACGCTACTAGAAGATATAGATGCCTCCTCTCTCCCACAGAGGCTCAAACGGTGGTCGGCAAATTATCTGAGTGGTCGACATTCGTCGGTAATGTTTAGAGACAAGTAAGCAGCGAAAAATAAAACAGGGGGTTCCTCAGGGTGGTGTCCTTTCCCCGCTACTGTTTAACTTTTATATTTCAAAGCTCCCTCAACCACCAGAGGGAGTCTCGATTGTCTCCTATACCGACGATTGCTCGATCATGGCGACTGGGAATGGAATTGATGACCTGTGTTCGAAAGTAAACGGCTATCTCTCCGAACTTTCTCGCTTCTTCACTGCAAAGTGTCTAGCCCTCTCCCCTACGAAATCCTCCGCGACCCTGTTCACAAGCTGGACGAAGAAGGTCAAGCTACCGCTGGGGATTCACGTCGATGACACACCAATTCCGACGGTGAATAACCCCAAAATACTCGGAGTAACATTCGACAGCCTGCTCTCCTTCTCTGCGCACTCAACCGCTATTGTCAATAAAGTACAGAGCCGCAACAAGGTCCTCAAGTCGCTAGCCGGCAGTACTTAGGGCAAAGACAAAGAAACGTTGCTGGCACCATACAAGGCAATAGGCCGGCCGGTTTTGAACTACGCAGCGCCAGTGTGGTCGCCAGGGACTAGTAGGACGCAGTGGACGAAGCTACAGACTGTACAAAACACCGCACTCAGGACAGCGACGGGATGCCTCTTGATGTCGCCTGAACACCACCTGCACGGCGAGGCGCAAATGCTCCCGGTAAAGGAGCATAATATAATGCTCTGCAAGCAGTTCCTGATCGGGAGCCACAGAAGTGGCCACCCAAGCAGACAGCTGCTTGCAGAGGAGCCCTCGCCTAGGCACGTCAGGAGGCATCTATATGAACTAACGGACGAAGTCCAGAGGTTCATTAAGTAACCTCTGGACCCGACAGCTTACAGACAGGCCCTGAACGGCATTCACAGGGACTCAGTCTCGAGTTATGTAGACTCTAGACCTGTGAATGCCGTTCTAGTCACACCACCCCCGGACATAGACGAGACGGAGCTTCATCTGCCTCGGGAGACACGCACTACACTCGCACAACTTCGCTCCGGCTACTGCAGCAGGTTAAACTCCTACTTGAGTAGGTTGAATGAGGATGTGCCGAACGAATGTCCGGCATGCGGAGAGACCCCACATGACTCGAAACATCTCTTCGCATGCCCGGAAAACCCGACAACCCTAACGGCCTTGTCCCTATGGGCAAACCCCGCAGAAGCTGCACGCTTCCTAGGGTTGCCGTTAGTGGAACTTGACGACAACGACTGAGATACCAACCGATCTGGGCGGGGTTGTTGTAGCCGCTACAACAACCACAACAACAACAATGACGTTAGAAACTTCAGGCCTATATCTAAACTCACCACATGTTCGAAGCTTTTTGAAAAAGTCGTGAAAGAAAAACTATTCTTCACTGTTAAAGAAATTATCGACCCGAATCAGCATGGTTTTTTCTGTCGGCGTTCCACAACCACCAATCTGGCGGAATTTTCCCAATTCTGTATCTCATCTTACAAAAGCGGTTCTCAAGTAGATGTTATCTACACTGATTTTTCTAAAGCGTAAAAAATTGGTATCCATTCAACTTTTCTTTCTTGGTTAAGGTCATATCTCTCGAACAGAATCACCTCCGGTGTCCCTCAGGGCAGTATCTTAGGACCGCTATTGTTTGTTCTCTTTATAAATGATATTGGGAGATGCTTTAAGCGAGTCGTGTTCGATGGCTCCGCAAAATTAACCAGTGGATACTCGTTCCAACCATCCAGCCTAAACTCTTCAACACACTTTTGCGTTTTCGTATGTTCAAGGTAGCCTTAACGGGAGATGTCTGCAAGATGTACCGCTGAGTCCGCATTTTGCATCCGGATTATTACTTGCAATGCATCCTATGGCGAGGCGACCCCAAAGCTGAATTAAAGGCATACACACTGGACACTGTTACGTATGGTACCAGGCCCGCCGCGTTTTTGACGATTCGTGCTATGCATCAACCGGCAACAGACGAAGAAACAAACTTCCCGCTTGGAGCACATATCGTCCGCCGAGATTTTTACGTCGACGACCTCATCACTGGTGCAGACACCCTGGAACAAGTGATTGAAATTCGTCGCCAAACATCACAGCTACTTCGCAGGGGAAATTTCATTCTTCGAAAGTGGTGCTCAAACGTTTCTGCTTCTCTCAATGGAGTGGCTGAATTTGACCGTGAGCCGTTGCTACAGTTCCGCGATGGTACGCACATTACAAAGGCGCTTGGACCAGTATGGGACCCAAAATCAGATGACTTCATTTTTTCACTCGCACCTAAAAGAAATCACAGACAGGTAACTAAACGCGTCGCATTATCAACAATAGCTCGGTTTTACGACCCACTAGGACTCATAGCTCCAGTTCTAACTCAAGCAAAAATATTCATACAAAGCATGTGGAAAGAACGAATTCACTGGGACGAAAGCTTGTCACAGCATTTGCACAAGAGTTGGACCGATTTCTGCGGTGAACTTGAATTAGTATCCAATTTTCATTTCCCTCGATATGTACTAATGCCAAATTCTCACTTAGAACTTCACGCATTTTGTGATGCTAGCCTAGCTGCGTACGGTGCATGTGTATATGTCCGAGCGCAATACATCGATGAAGTCAGAACCAGCCTATTATGTTCGAAATCAAGAGTAGCGCCATTAAAGACTCTCACAATACCCAATACTATCGCAATCCTTCAACATTTTCATCAAAAATTTATGCATGCTGGACCGCAAAGCTTAACAGCCTAGATTCGATTACAATTTTGGCCGATTGGTGGGCGAAAGACCGTAGCCGGTGTAATCAACAAATGCTTAAGGTGCTTATAAATAAATATGTACAGGAGTATGAATATAAATTCCGCAAGAAAATAAACTTTTTTACTTTGTAACCTCTTCTTGAAACCTAAAGTCATGGCGCGTAGTCGCATCGTTTTATTTTTGCATTAGTTGGCTTGCCAGCTCACAACAATATGTATATGTTAAATTTTATAAGGGGAGTAACCATTTAAAAATTTTACGAATAATGAAAAGTTACGAAATTTCGAAAACACACTCGCAAAAATCATGTATAGTACATTAAAAATGTAAATATGCCAAATTTGGCACACCCTGCGCTCTAATGTTAAAATTCATACTTGGAATATTTTTTAAAAATTATGAATACAAAGTTTGTTGTTGTGAAATTTTTTTTATCTACAAAGTTTGAGATGTGGATTTCTTTGGTGTTAGGTATTATATAATTAGCTAGACTTTAATAAAAAATTAATAAACATTATACAAACGAAAGGTAAATAGTCAAAACTCGCCGAGATGTTGTGTATCTATGGAATATCAATTTCGGAATAAAAAAAAAGTATTGTACTGTATAGAAACGAGCGTTAGGTTTTGTAGACCATTCAATATAAGTATAATAAAGTCCACGTGAATCCCGTTGATTTTTGAGATTTTTTTTTACGAAGGTGTTGCCATTTTCTTCTTGCACAAAGTTTTAAACTTTGGCTTATATGGTTTATGGTGTAGAATCTACTGTATTTTTATATAAAATTTACGAAAAAATATGTCAAGTAAAACATTGTGAATATTGGAAAAGATAAAAGGGCGCTATTTACGTTAGCGCCTATGTTCATATGTACATTCATCTTATATCAAAATATTTTCGTAAGAACATAAGAAATATTTATTTGCGAATTAACTAATTTAATTACCTCAAGATACTCAGCGATATGCTCACAAGCATCCTCTAACTGATTTTCATCTAGTATAACATCAAACAATTCCGATGGACATTGGGCTAATTTTTTTCCGCGGCAACCATTTGAACTGAAAGATTCTTAGCTTGAGATTTTCCTCGAGATTTTATTAAACGTTGAAGAACCTGAAAGGAAACGTTATTAACAACATACATCGATACAAATTTTCTCCGCATTGTGTTTTAATACATGAAATTAAAAAACTAGTTTAAGCAATTTTTAAACATAACACAAAATAAGTTATGGCCGTGCAACAAAGCCATAGGAAATAACGCTACATGGCTTTATTTCAATTCACATTGAGATTTGAGTACATATGGCTTTACTTCCATGGTGAAAGTGAAATATAGCAACAACAAAAAATGTTACATATGAGAAATAAAGCCATGCGATCTTATTTGAACACAAAAAGTAAATGTTGTCCCTTTAGTGGCGATTTAAAAGAAAATTTCATATACATTATCGAGTACTGGTGGCAACAAAATATTATTTTGTTCCCCCTTCGTAATATTTACCTATTTCCTTTCACTTCAGCCGATAGGAGTGAAGTCTACCGACACTCTATCGTAAATACATATCGTCGTTTAAAGTACAAAACCCCGTATCGTCATTCTGCAAAACCGCGTAACTGACATTGGCTGCCAAAAATTGGATTGGCTCACACAAGCTCTTGACTCAATCCTTATCCATTCGTCCTGAAATATACTACCCAGAAATGCGATTGCTTTATAAAAAAGAAAACCATTTAGAAATATGAGTGTTTTTGTCCTTCTTCTTTTTTGGCGCTGTAACCGCCAAAGCGATTTTGGCCGAGTTCAGCAAAGCACGCCAGTCTGTGCCAACGGAAGCCAATTGGAAACGCCAAGTGAAGTCCTTCTCCACCTGATCTTTCCATCGTAGTGGGGGCCTCCCTCTTCCTTTGCTACCACCAGCGGGTTCCGCGTTAAATACTTTCAGAGCTGGAGCGTCGGTGTCCATTCGAGCGACATGACCAAGCCAGCGGAGCAGCTGTATTTTAATTCGCTGCACTATGTCCATATCGTTGTAAAGCTCA